ACTGCTCACTTGATAACGTTGTTCACTTCAAAATCGATCTCATCAGTCAAAGTGTTCCATATTTGATAAATTCGAAATGCGATCGAATCCAACAGTGCAATGAGCATATGCTCTTTGGTTGTATTCGGTCGCAATCCCAAGAATGCACAACACGCAGTCGTATCGTTTATTGGTGTTTGTAGACCGCTGAATGCTGGCACGAAACACAAATCTGCAATTAAAAGCCACTCAATCTGAACCTCGATCACCACAGATTTCAAATCAAAAATACACAACCTGTCATGAACAATCGTGCATAAATAATATGAATGCCTATCATGAATGAAAAAATACATAAATCAATACCAGTTCGAGATACTTTGGAGGTGATATTTGGTAACTGCGCTATGTCATCAAAAAGACCAATCGACTGCGCCCACTTCACCAACGATCCAGTTTCGAACGATGAACCTTCAGCAGCAAAATTGTAGTGATGCGGAAACCGCCACGCCAACACAGGATACAAGCCTGAATTTTAGTTGGTGACGAGAATTTGGATTATTTCGCTATAATCTGAATGAACAATTTTGAAATTAATATTCTTCTATAACAAAGAAGGCGCAATTAAATTCCACATGCTCTGTTCACATACCGTTCAATGAAGCAATAGGATGTTGCCCGGTGTTGAGATCAAGAAAAGCTCCGGTACCGATGCAAATATTAACATCACCTTTATGCCAACCTCCACTTCCAAACAGTGCAGCCTGTTGATCACCAGCCTTCAAATCAAATATCCTTTTTAAGAACAGAAACGCTTTTATCATACGACAATTTCTNTTTTAAAAAATCCAAATTCATGATACCATTGAACCAATCTTCAGAGGAAATCCGAATATTTCATTATGGCATGTGGCTAGTGGAACACCAGCCGAAAACGTTAATTTAGGGAGTAGTGAAACCGGGAAGGATATTATCCTCAGCAACATGTGACCCCAATTCATCTGAAAAAAACTTTTCGCTTAGCAATAATTGAAGCTTATTACAATGAATAATTAAAGCTCAAACACGACTGCAACTGATTTCAAACAAAGATAAAAAATCAATCAAACAACTATGGGTTTCAACATACCATGTATGGGTCATAAAGGCCAGTTGTAGAAGAATTAGATGGTTCAGTTACATGCACAGCACCTTTCGTTAGTTTATGTATTAACCATGTATCCAAACAACCGTACATTAATTTATCACTTGTCAACAAGTTTTGCATTTCAGCATTCTGAATAAATGCATCAGCAAGGTTAGAATTAATCGAGAGACATAGAGCGAATGAGAATGATTTTCATTTCATTAAAATTCACAGATATCTTCCTTCACCCCTTCCTCATGGATGACATTAAATTCAGAAAATTAATAAAATACGAAAACATACTCTGAAAGAAATGAAAGAAAAGGAGATGAGAAGCAAACCTCTTGAATAGTGACCATCAAACGATGTGTGACAAATCCACCAAGGAATTGAAACATTCTAAACGCTTTGAATCGTTGAATTCGAGTAAAGAAATGGGCTACTGAACCGAATATATTCATTGCCTTAAATTTCNAACCTTGATCAGGAGAGAAGCATTCCACTTTTTGCATATTTGTCGCGCACGGCAATCTTTCCATGTGATCAATTTATGGCACGGTTGACCTGTATCTCTGCAAATAATGAAACAGCAACTTGTGCTAGATTTATATAAAACGAAATGAGGTGAACAATGATTTGGATACTCAAAAATCGGACTGCAAAATCCTTGTAGAGCACGAAGTATTGCAATATAAGAATGCTATTTCGAACAAGTTGTAGAATGGCCAAATATGAAACTGAACGACTTACTTATTCCAGCAAATAAATGAATTCCTATGACAGCTGATACCCATTGATGCAACTGAAGTGACATCGTCTACCCCCGCTACTAAAAATATAATTCTGACTTCTATGATATTGAAACGAACCCTGAATAATATCTGTGATTCAATTTTGAACACATTGCACTCTAACACTGAACTGTATAATTATGCTTCCATCAAGTAATCACTTAAAGATGAGTCGAAAACTCATGATTGAATCAGTTCAATTCAAGTGCATTAAATGATCGAAATGGTGCAGAGTAAAATATTCGTTAAGAACGAAACATGTTCGAATAAAAGCCAAAGTGAAATTTACTGATTTCCTTGCAAACTGCACAAAACGTATTCCACAATAAATCAGGATCGATTTCAGCACGCATCCCCTCACACCCGACATTACTTAATTCTAACGGCACCTGAATTCAAAATTCGACTAAAATTATGCACTTCTTTGAGTCAGTGAAAGACCGAAATCTAACTATTGAACATTTAATTTGAAATTAAAAAAGCTTGAAATGATAATATTCACAAC